CAATGGCCCCGCCCACACCGCGCTAGGCCCCTCCCACCAATCCATGTTCCTGGCCCTGCCCTTGGAGTCAGTCCTCGAGGTTTACAGCATGGAAACAGGCCTTTCGGCCCAACTTGTCTTTGCCGCCCAGTTTTCACAATTTAAATTAGTCCCATTTGCCTGTGTTTCATACATATCCCTCAATACCTGTTCCACCCATGTACCTGTCTAAATGTTTCTTAAATGGCAAATTGTACTCGTCTGCACCACTACCTCTTATAGCCCATTCCAGACACTCATCACCCACTGTGTGAAAAAATATTGCCCCTCTGGACCCTTTTGTATCTCTCCCCTCTCACCTTAAACCTATACCCACTAGATTTAGATTCCCCTACCATGGGGAAAAGCTGTTGGCTATCTACCTTATCCATGCCTCTCATGATTTTATACACCTCTGTTAGGTCACCTGCCCCCCCCGTCCAGTCTCCTACACTCCAGGGAAAGAAGTCCCAGCCTCCAGCCTCTCCTTATAACACAAACCTTCCAGTCCAGGTAGCCTCCTAGTAAACCTCTTTTGCACTCTTTCTAGTTTAATAATATCCTTTCTATAGTATGGCGACCAGAACTGCACACAATACTTTAAATGTAGCCTCACCAAAGTCTTGTACAGCTGTGACAAGATATCTCAACTTCTATACTCAGTGCTCTGACTGATGAAAGCAAACAAGCCAAAAGCCTTCTTCACCGCCCTGGCTACCTGTGACTCCACTTTCAAGGAGCTACAAACTTGTACCTCGAGATTTCTTTGTTCTATAACGCACTGCAGGGCCCTACCATTGTGTAAGTCCTGCCTAGGTTTGACCTACCAATTTGCAACACCATGCATTTCTCTAAATTAAACTCCATCTGCCATTCCTCAGCCCATTGGCCCAGTTGATCCAAGATCTCGCTGTATTCCCAAAATGCCTTTTTCACTGCCCACACTACTATCAACCTTCGTATCGTCGGAAAACTTGCTAACCATACGTCATAAATTCTCATCCAAATCATTAGGCCCCACCTTTCCATGCACTTGTCCTCACCCATCACTACACCAGGCCCCACCCATTCCTGGGGCTGACCATTCTCCCCTCTCCCTCTCTATCTCTCTGTCTCTCTCTGCAGGTGACAGTCCAGTACAGCCAGGAGAATGGGGTGGTTGTCCCGACTCGTGTGCACACTATCGTTATCTCCGTGCAGCACGACGAAGATGTGACGGTGGACGAAATGCGGAGCGCCTTGAAGGAGCGGGTGATTGATGCCGTGGTGCCCAGCAAGTACCTGGATGATAAAACTGTGTATCACCTCCAGCCCAGTGGGAGGTTTGTCATTGGAGGACCCCAGGTTGGTCTAAAGAACATAATGTGGGCAGTTTGTTAATTCATTCATGGGATGAGGGTGTCACTGGCTAGGCAGCATTTATTGCCTGTCCCTAATTGCCCAGAGGGCAGTTAAGAATCAACCACATTCCTGTTGGTCTGGAGTCACATGTAGGCCAGACCAGGTAAGGATGGCAGATTTCCTTGCATAAAGGTCTGTAATTAACCTGATGGGTATTTTTTATAACAATTGACAATGGTCAATTTTAGTTCCAGAGTTTTTAAAGTTTAAACTTAATTTCACTGTCGGCCATGATGGGATTTGAACCCATGACACCAAAGCTTGGCCTGGGATTTTTGATTGTGAGTCCAACGACATTACCATTGAACCACAACAAAACGTAACAAAAGTGTTCAAACACTTAAGGTATATTGACTGAATTGACAGAGGGAAACTGTTTCCAGTAGCAGGAGGGTCAATAACCCGAGGACACAGATTGATAAATGATCATGGAGGAGGTTAAAATAAATGTTTTATGTAGTGGGTTATTTAATCTGCAATGGTGGTGGAAGAAGATTTGAGAGTCAAGTTGAAAACAAGAATTAGGTAAATACTTGAAAAGGAAAAATTTATAAAACACTGGGGAAAGAGTAAGCATGCTGGACTAATTGAAGAATATGCAATGGGCCAAATGTCTACCATCTGTGGTAAACACAGATTCCAAGCCAATCTGTTCAGCCTGACTTTGCCAATTTAAATCACACTTGCAGCTGGGATGACACCATCGCAGTCTAAGTGTGAGCTCCAGAGGAGCGTGTGGAAAGGACCTGATCCCTGAACCGTGAGAGATTCAGAGAGTTAGAACTGAGGTGTGGCAGGTCTAGCCCCAACCACCAAGGACTTCCTTCAAGTGTGACAATGACCCACCCCTAAAATAGACATTAAATGCATCAAAATGTGAACCATTAAACAGCTCTTGTGCTTTTTATGTTACAACGTACAGCATAGTAACAGGCCATTGGGCCCAGTTGGTTTATGCTAGTTTTTATGCTCCATGTAATCCCCGTCTTATTTTGTTTCCCACAATCAATGTATCCTTTTGTCCCTCGCACTTATCAAGCTTCCTTTGGATTATGTCAATGTTGTTCACCTCAGTCAGCCATTCCTTGTACTAGTGAGGGGCTGAATGGTCCACACCTACACCTATTTTCTATGCTACTATGTTCCAAGCCATTGTCCATGTCAAGACATTTCTCCTGATTTCCTTATTAGTTACCATCTTATATTTAAGGTCCCAAATCTTGGAAATGGAATCAGTGTCTTAATATTAAGCCTATCAAAGAATTTCATAATCTGAAAGAGCTCTGGCCAGTCAGCCCTCAGCTCCATCAACTATCCTTGTGATGGGGGCAGATCTCACCAAGTGTCTCATGTTTGGATTGTTTTAGGGTGATGCTGGAGTCACTGGGCGGAAGATCATTGTGGACACGTACGGGGGATGGGGAGCTCATGGTGGTGGTGCCTTTTCGGGAAAGGACTACACAAAGGTGGACCGCTCAGCAGCCTACGCTGCTCGCTGGGTGGCCAAATCCCTCGTGAAGGCTGGCCTTTGCAAACGTGTCTTGGTGCAGGTGAGGACTGAGTGACATGGAGACTCCAGTCTCGGAATGAATGATGAGAGACTTTGGGTCGCTTACTACCTCTCTGTGAATTAATTCTGCCTCCCCATCTAACAAAGGCCTTTGTTAGTCTTACTTTGAACAGATTCCAGCTTCCACTCAATTAATGCAGTCATACCATATGACCATGGTGAACTACGGAGAATCAACATAGAGTACTGTCATTTCAAGACCATGTGGGTTTGGCTGATGAGGGGAATTTGGCTCATTAACTGAGACTGCATTGGGCATTAAAGAGTAAACATCATTAGTACTCGCAAAATCTCCCTTTCTAAAATGCTTGTTAAGTCTGTGATTTTTGGATTGTTTAGAGTCTGTGTTTCCAAGTGTTTTTTTCACAGGATGTGGACTTCGCTGGCAAGGCCAGTATTTGTTCTCCATTCCTATTTGCCCTTGGAGTGAGGAGGCCATTTTAGAGTCAACCACTTTCCTACAAGCTTGGAGTCACATGGAGGCTGCTCCTTGTAGGAAGGCAGATTTCCTTCTCTAAAGATTCTCTCTCTGTTGACCAGATAGATTTCTACCATAATTGATGATGTCATTAAAACAAGGTTTCCATTCCAGATTTTAACCCATGAAATTCCACCAGCTGCTGCAGTGCAATATGTCTCAGAGATTTAACCTGGGCGTCTGGATTGTGAGTCCAGTCACACTACCACTAGCCTACAGTAGTGCCCTAGAGAGTCCTCACTGGGAACTGATGGGCAAAAAATAGTAACCATGAGAGGGTAGTCATAGAGTCATACAGGATGGAAACAGACTCTTTAGTCCAACTAGTCCATGCCAAACATAATTCCAAACTAACCTAGCCCCACCCACCTGCTCTGATCCATATCTCTCCAAACCTTTCCTATTCGTGTACTTACCTAAATGTCTTTTAATCGTTGTAACTGTACCCATATTCACCACTCCCTCTGGAAGCTCATTCCACGCACGAACCACTCTCTGTGTAAAAAGTTGCCCCTCATGTCTTTTTTTAAATCTCTCTCCTCTCACCTTAAAAATATGCCCCCTAGTCTTGAAAAGTCCCATTCTGGGGGGAAAGGACGCATACTGTTAACCCTGTCTATACTCTTCATGATTTTATAAACCTCTATAAGGTCACCTCTTAACTTCCTGCATTCCAGTGAAATAAGTCCCAGCCTATCCAGCCTTTCTTTATAACTCAAACCTTCCATACCCGGCAACATCCTGGTAAATCTCTTCTGAGCCGTCTCCAGCTTAATAATAATCATACACTTTCACCTGAATTGTTGCTGTCCTTGTCCTGTAGGCACTTGCAGAGTTTCATCAATTAAGAAATTCCAGGATTTTGTAACAGTAGCAGTGAGAAAAATGGAGTTACACATCAAAATCAGGATGGGTGTGAGTTAGAGGAAATGTTTACAAATGTGTATTCATACAAGGTTGTAATGTATGTGTGTTTGTGGATGTGTGGCTGGGAGTGAGTACATTCATGTGCTTCTGATTATCCATAAGTGTGTGTGTGAACCTGGGTGTGTGCGTGTTTATCTGTACGTGTGCATGTGCACATGTGTGTAGGTGTCACGTGCGTGTGTGTAGTTCTGTGCATGTGTGCAGATGTGTGCACGTGCGTGTGCGTAGGTGTTTGTGCTTGTCTGTGATTGCCTAAACCAACACTGGCAGTTGTCACCCTTGCTCTCCTGTTTTGGGATGGTTTTTAACCGTGTCATGTGTCAGCTCCAATGAAGCAGCTTTCTTGCGCCAAAACTCATCGCTGTAAATTTTCCAGGTTGCCTATGCCATCGGAGTCGCTGAGCCACTGTCTATCTCTGTTTTCTCGTACGGAACCTCACAAATGGGCGACAAAGCATTGATGGAAATTGTGAAAAAGAACTTTGACCTTCGACCTGGAATGATTGTCAGGTAAAAATAAGCTTCTGCCTTCAGTTCTGGGATTGATAACCATTCTCCTGAGTAGTTTGATGCAGTGTTCTGGTGATGGATAGAGTTTTCGTTGTGAGGCACTACAGATATAATTCCACAGAAAAGCCTGCTCTATCCTGGCCACTCCCTGATGTGTACAGCCTGCCCTTGAGCTTGGACTTGTAAAATGGCTCCTGGAGTTCAGAAGGGAATCGGCCTGCAGTTTGAGGCTATCCTTGTAGATGGCACTGCTTCCATGCAGGATAACTAGCAAATCCGTGACACCAACTCCAGTTGGCAGAACATTGAACAGTACAGCACAGTACAGGCCCTTTGGCCCATGATGTTGTGCCGAACTTTTACCCTAAACCTAAATCTATCTAACCTCCACCGCTACCTTATACTATCATCCATATGCCTATCTAATAGCCGCTTAAATGCCCCTAATGAGGCCGACTCCACTACCCTCTCCGACAATGCATTCCACGCTCCTACCACTCTCAGAGTAAAGAACCTACCTCTGACGTCTCCCCTATATCTACCTCCACTCACTTTAAAACTATGCCCCCTCGTAATAGCAGGTTCACAGGGAATGCATCTCTTGACCCTAGACCTCCCACTGCCTTATCCAGTTAAACAGCTTACCTTCCTTCATCCTCGGGCCAAGATTGGGGGCTGACTTTAGCCAAGGCTAAGATCTGGGATAACCTTTAGTCAAGACCGGGATCAGGAGGCTTTTGCCAGATCAAGGAGTTCCAGGAACTGGATCCAGGATGGGGACATTTGCTGGGACCAGAATGAATGCAGACAAAATTTGGGAATATTATAAGGGAGGGGGAGGATGCAACAGAGAGAGAATAGTTTTAAATCTGTCTTCAAAGGAATACTCAGTTCACTGTGATCAGAGAAAACTCTATATCACAGAGGTAATGAATTCCTTGCAATTGAATGTGGAATCTCTAATTTAAGTCTGCGTAGATTCAGTAGCTATTATAATTGCAAAAAGTAATTGATCTTATTGTAATGAACATTGTTAGCTTGCTCCACCACTCAATACAGTAATGGCATAGGATGACATGGTGATTCAGCGTTTAGCTCTGCTGCCTAAGAGCACCAGGACCCAGGTTTGATTCCACCCTCGGGTGACTGTGCAAACTCCACACAGACATTCTCCCCATGCCTGCGTGGGTTTCCTCCAGGTGCTCCGGTTTCCTCCCAAGAAGTGCAGGTTAGATGAATTGGGAACTGCAGGGTTACAAAGAAAGGGTAGCGGCCTGATTGGAGGGTTCAGTACGGACTAGATAGGCCAAATGGCCTGCTCCCATACTGTAGGGATTCTATAATTCGATGAATGGCTGATCTGGTTATGGTATCATCTCCACCTTCCCTCCTATCCCATTGATGTTTTGACTCCCTTATCAGTTATTATAAAGCAAGCCCTTGAGAAGTTATCAGCGTATAATAAGTACATTTGGAAAAATCCATGAAACAATACCACGACAATAAGAAAAAGAGGCCAGGCTTCAAATGGGGTAAAGACAAAGTTCACTCTCACATCGGAAAAATCTTGAATCTTTTAGAAAAAGTTGAGTGTCCGTTTTTCAGAGAGCGAAAAGTTAATCCTGTGTGGATGAACTGAGAAGGCATCTTGGCAGGGAAATGGCATAAGGTGTATTGGTCATTGGCAGAGCTGGCATAGGCAGGCTGAGCTGAATGGCCTCCTCCTGTGCTGTAACTGGGCTATTGTTTGTATCTATTTTTGTGATTCTGTATCGAAATAAAAAACCATGTTTCCTTTTCCAGGGACCTCAACTTGAAGAAACCAATCTACCAAAAAACAGCTTGCTACGGCCATTTTGGCAGGAGTGAATTTCCTTGGGAAGTGGTCAAGAAGCTGAATTACTAATGTATCCTGGCCTGGTCCCCAAACCACTACTACTACTGTCCATTGCAGTGACCTACAGAAGGGCACTTTGTCCTGAAATTCCATGATAAAACTGGCTTCTGCCAGACCACGTCAAATCCTTATCTCCAGGAGGGACCAAATCACAATCTGTGGGAAGAATTTAATCATCAGCAACAATGCCACGTTGGAGAAGAGTTGTCTCTGCTTTCCTGGGAGTTTCCATCGAGAGTTCCAATATTCTTTACATTGCTGTCATTTTACAGAAACGTAACAAGTTCCTTTTTCTGTCATAGGGAAAGGCAGCACCAAAGTTCCACCATCTGTATGGTAGCTTGACCTCACTACCTCCAAGCCTGGTGACACGGGAAAAAACCCAAAACTGAGCCACAAGCGACCAAAATGGTGGATGCTAATACTTTGCTGTGAGTTAGTTTCCCCGAGGTGGAGTGTTGAGGTGAATAGCTGCACCTGACTGCCAATGGCATTTCAATTCTGTTCTCCTTCATCACCCCATCTCACATGACAAGGGAACGTTTCTCTCTATTCTGCACCCGTGGGCTGGAATTACTGCAGCCTGGAATTTGTCATTTTAAGTTCCCTGGACATCCTTGGCAGTATACCCACTTGAGTTAGTAATCTTGGGATCAAATCTCGCCTCCTCTCCCCAGCTGAAAGAAAATGTAAAGAAAACATAACCTGTTTTAAAGTAGAAATCAGTGACTTAAAATTCATAGGAACATGTGAAGTTGAAGCAAGGGGGAGGACATTTGGCCCCTCCATCATTCGGTAGGATCTCGGCTGAATAATTGTGAGCTTAACTTTCCAGCTTGTCCCCAGTATCCTGAATCTGGCCAGCTCTGCCTTAAAAGTATTCAGTGATCTTGGCTCCACTGTTCTGTGGGAAAGAAAGTTCCAAGGACTCACGCATCTCTGGGAGAAAAAAAAAATTCTTCCTCATTTTAATCTTAAAAATGGAGACCCCTGATTTCGAAACACTGACACCCACCCCCCATCCCTACCCTCACCTCAGTTCTAGCCTCTCCCATAAGGGGAAACATGCTTTCAGAATCATCTTGATAATTCCCCTTGGATTCCTCTATGCTTCAATAAGATCAGCTCTCATTCCTCTAACTCCTGTTTACCTACACAGTTTCTGACAACATTCCTCACTCTACAACTTAAACGACATATTTCAAGTGAACCAGTTGTGCCTCCGTCAAAGCAGATAGACAGCACGTCTCCATCTAACTGTGTGGAGTACACGTTTCCTAAACTCATCATGAATTACTCTGGCTTCTCTGGTTCTACATTTTGTTTTCTTCTCAAGTTTAACTTTTAACTGATCACACAGTGGGGAAAACAGTAGTCTTTCTTTGAGCCAGGCTGTTTTGAGAATTTTCAGTTCATGAATTATGCTGCAAAAACAGGTCAAATCTACTCCAGTTTTGGTGTTTTGTTCCCTTGCAGTGTCAGTCTTGGCTCAGTGCTAACACTCTCTCACTGCTGAATCGCAGGGCTGCAGGGCGAGGGCTCGCTGCAGGGCTAGGGCTCACTCCAGAGGCTTGAGCATATCATCCATTCAGTAGTGAGGGAGAGGCAATATCATTTGACCTTTAACACCAGACCCTGTATGCTCACTCAGGTGGACGTCAAAAGACCACATGGCAGAACTCATAGAGGAGTTGGGGTGCTCTTTGGTGTTCTAGCCAACGTTTTTCCTTCAACCAATACTGTAATTTTGGTCATTATCTCATTGCTATTTGTAATTGCTGCATTTCCTACATTATACATTCAAAATTGGCTGCAAAACATGTTGGGACATCCTGTGGACACAAATAGGACAACAGAAAAACAATCCCTTTCTTATTATCTTAATCTACAAAAAAAATACAACCAGTTGCTTCAATTCTGGTTTTCCTGTTGCTTTATGATTTTCCCATTCTTCTTCTTTTGTTCATTATTTAATGTTAATTTATATTCTGGCTGAATCTAATTCGTCTTCTAATGCCTCTAATCCCCTGACATTTTCCTTTTACCTGTTTCCATTTTGGTGCATTTACCATTTTAAAAAATAATGGATTTTGATTTATTTCTGAACTGATATTGATAGTGCAAAGGAGAAAAGGTTGTCTCTGTTATATTGCAGCAGTGGCTAAATCAGTCTGTGATTTAATTCAAAGCTCCAAAGTCATTCAAAGCATTTGAAAATTAAGTGATGTATCAATGTGCCTGGTACCCAGATGTGTGGTGCTGTGAAATGCTTGAGGGATTTGACTGTGGGAGAGCTGTGCACCCCATAGAATTTTCCTAATGAATGGATAGAAAACTGAGCTGGGTCCTTGGATCTCCATGTCCCCGTTCTCACTGCTCAAAGTTCTGTGGCAGGATCGCTCCTTAACAAAAATCCACATCGTAAGGCTTTACTTTATATACCAAAACAAAATTTGCATCTTGCTGGAAAGGATCCCTGAAACCTTTTATCTTGCCTTAATCAGGACAAACACAAAAATACCAAATTTCACACAATCACGGCAATTTATACCACAGCAAAAGAAGGTTCTGATTGGTTGACTAATCAATTCTAATCGGCTGAGACGTTGCCATGGAGAAAACAAAGGATAGAATAGAATCCCTACAGAGTGGAAGCAAGCCATTCAGCCTGTTAAGTCCCCATTGACCTTCTGAACCTGAACCATTGACCTGTAACCCCCCCATTTCCCACGGCTAATCCACCTAGCCTGCACATCCTTCAACACTATGGCCAATCTACCTAGCTTGCACATCTTTGGACTGTAGAAGGAAACTGGAGCACCCAGAGGAAATCCGCGCAGTCAAGGGGAGAATGTGCAAACTCAACACAGTCACCTAAGGGTGAAAGCGATCCCTGGTGTCCATGCAGTGAGGCAGCAGTGCTAACCACTGAGCCACTGTGCATACACGCTCTCTGCAAACAAAATAAATATGTTCGAGCAATACAACTTTTTTGAATTACCTGGGAACTTGGAGACCCTAGTTTCCTGTGATAACACAGTGTGGAGCTGGAGGAACACAGCAGGTCCTGACCCGAAACGTCAACTTTCCTGCTCCTCTGGTGCTGCCTGGCCTCTGTGTTCCTCCAGCTTCACACTGTGATATCTCTGACTTCAGCATCAGCAGTTCTTACTATCCCTATAGTTTCCTGTTCTTTCTCTGTAGCAATTGCTTGGCCAATCAGTGTTGATTTGCCAACTACTCAGTACTCTTTTCTCATAAAGTTGCTGTGATCATTTGAAATTTGGCATTCTTGCATTTGTCCTGAGACAGTAGGACATCTCTCTCTTCAGCAATAGTCCTGTACAACCAAGTGAAATTGGAATAACGTTGAGATAACAAGGTGTAGAGCTGGATAAACACAGCAGGCCAAGCAGCATCAGAGGAGCAGGAAAGCTGACGTTTTGGGCCTAGACCCTTATTCAGAAAATGCCTATAGTGTCCAGGGATGTACAGGCTAGGTGTACAGGTGGGTTAGCCATGGGAAATGCAAGTTACAGGGAAAGGGTAAAGGGGATGGGTCTGGGTGGGATATTCTTTGGAGGGTCGGTATGGGCTGAATGGCCTGCTTCCACACTGTAGGTATTCTAGGAGAAGAACTTCTTCATTTTCTGAAGAAGGGTCTAGGCTCAAAACGTCAGCCTTCCTGCTCCTCTGATGCTGCTTGGCCTGCTGTGTTCATCCAGCTCTACACCTTGTTATCTCAGATTCTCCAGCATCGGCAGTTCCTACTATCTTTGAAATAACGTTTCCTTTTTATGACAGTCTGAAATCCCATCAGCACCTCCAGGTGGCGCCAAGTTACCTTTTGTTCAGTTTTCACTTTAACAATGAAGAAACAATCCCAGAAAACCAGACCAAACTCCATCTCCCTTCTGTGCTAAAGTTGCCTTCTCTCACCCAATGGAAGATGCCTGGCTCACAGGGCAAGGAAAGCTAACTTTGATGCTTGCTTCTCCTAGAATACCAACAGTGTGGAAGCAGGCCATTCAGCCCATACCAACCCTCCAAAGAATATCCCACCCAGACCCATCCCCTTTACCCTTTCCCTGTAACTTGCATTCCCCATGGCTAACCCACCTAGCCTGTACATCCCTGGACACTACAGGCAATTTAGCATGGCCAATCCACCTAACCTGCACATCTTTGGACTGTGGGAGGGAACCCACACAGACACAGGGAGAATGTGCAAATTCCACACAGACAGTTGCCCGAGGCTGGAATTGAACCAGGGTCCCAGGTGCTGTGAGGCAGCAGTGCTAACCATTGAGCCACCATGTTGCCCTTGAGGGAAAAAGAATACCTTTGCAACAGAATATGAAAGTGCAGAGACCCATTAAAGGATTCCAGGAATCAAGCAAAGTTTAGAATGATCTCTTCCAAATTTTTCAGATCCGAGGACATGCTAAAGGAGCAATTACCAGGCCTTGCCCCTGCTGGGTGGTGTAATCAGAAATTTTACTCTGGACAATCACTGGAGTTTCTAATATGCCCCCCACCCTGCCCCATCAAGGCTTCCCTCAGGAAGCAAAAAGTCCAAGCATTATCCCCTCTGACTCCTTGCATAGCTCTGGAATTGCACTTAGAGAGACCAGCATTTATCCAAAGTTTCTTTGCCACACTCTTGGGCTATCTAAAATTGATGGGGTTGTAGCTTTCACTAAAAGAGACAACAAGAGAATTTTGGGCAAACTACTGAGTGTGCAAAATGCATAACATCTGCACAAATACGTTGCTTCATCTTTCAACAATCAAGTTCTTGTCTTTCTGTTCTTGGTCCAGGGGATGTACATCATTTTGTCAGTTATTGAGTAAAATGAATTCTGGTGGACATGAACTTGAATCGGACATGATGGACTTTAGCCGAGAACGTCGCAAAGTGTCACAAAGCAATGTTCACTTGAGAGTTGTCCAGGAATTACAGCTTGAAAGTGGGCAGTATTTGCACCACCCTGTGTGGGTGCCATTGTGAAGGATGAAGATGGGAAATCAGAGGTGTCTCACAAGAATATTAATGCACCTTTTTTTCTAAAGGCAAATCACTGACACTCATAAATACATTTATTATTAACTAAGTTGAAGTCTTAATTTCGTGTGGGAAATTGGCACCTTTTCAACATCTAATGAAACTTTCAGGGTTAAAGGTTTCCACCTCTTCCTCCCAGTCTTCACCAGCATGTGGTGCTACATGAAAGCATGCACAAATAGCTCAACATTGGGTGTCTTATTGGAACACTTTTTTTTTCACTCTTCCCTTGTTCTTTCACACCAGTGCAATTGCTCAAATAGGCATTAAATCTTCTGGCGAAATATCATGACCATCATGGACACTGTTGAATTTCACAAGTTTTCAGTGTGTTGAGGTAATTTGTCTTTGCTTTCCTTCTCTATGTTCTTTTGCATCTCTATCTTTTATAATCTCTACTTCTCCCTTTTTTTTAACTGTTGCTCCATCTTTTCTCTCCACTTGAACATTTCTTTCTGATTTACTTTGGAACATAGGAACAGGAGGAGGTCTCTCAGCCCATCACGTCTGCCCCACCTTTCCAGACAATGATGGCTGATTGAACACTTCAGTGCCCTTTACCAACACTAGCCCTGTAATCCTTAACAAAATTGATGATGAAAAATTTATCAACCTCTCCTATAACTGTACTCAAAGGCTGAGCTTCCAAAGACCCCTGGGGCAGAGAATTCCAAAGATTCACCCCCACACCTGAGTTAAGAAACATCTCATCTGAGTCCTAAATGGCATTCCACTTATTTTGAAACTGGTTCTAGACTCCCCAGATGTGGGGGAAATCTTACCTACATTTACCCAGTCTATCTCATTAAGTATTTTGTTGGTTTCAACAAGATCACCTCTCATTCTTTAATACTCTAGAGAATGCACGTCCATTTGCCCAATCTCTTTTTGTAGGACAGTCCCCCAAGCCTTTGTTTAAAAAACATTTTCTCTTGATTGTTTTGCCAATTCCTTCACAAAAAATTGAACATTTACTATTTTCTTCCAACTCATCGCACACAATCTCATTTGTTTAATTGGCCCTGCCTCAAGCTCACTCCCACTCTCTGCCTCCAGCTGAATATCCTTGGCATTGGTGTCCATTTTATGACCTCCTGGTCTTTTTTTAATCCCATGCCAATATTCTCCAACTCCATATCATTACATTTGTGCCTGCATCAGCCAAGCCATTGCTAAAATGCTTGTCCATGCCATTATCACCTGCATGTTTGATAATCACCAGCCAAATAACCTTCCATCCTCCACCTTCCAAAACCCTCAGCTCATCCTAATCTCATTTGTCTGTCCTATGCTAGGTCCCACTTGTCCATACTCCAGTCTTCACTACTTCAAGCAAGCTTGATTCTTGTGTTTGCTGCTTCCCATTGTGGTCTTTCATCTCCCTCACTGTAACCTGTTCAAAAGCTTTACAACAAGCCTGCTCTTCCCCTTAACTCTTTCCCTCTGACACCCACCAAGGACAGCCACACCTTCAGACATATATGCCCCAATCTCTGGAATTCCTTCTTTAAACTGCTTCGTTTTTCTTTAAGACTGTCCTGACAATCTACACCCTTAGCCAAGTTTTTGACCATTGCTGCTAATCCCTCCTTATCTGCTCTCAGCTTCCATTGTTTCAACTTAATACTGCTGTCTCTAGGTTGAAGTCTTTACGTAACTCTTGTGATTGGACATTAACCTTCAGAATTGCCTGGTCATGAGACATCGTAGCATATTTGAGAGCATACGGCATGGAAGTCCTGTTGTGCAGAGATAACGTCCCTACCTCCAGATTGAAGCCCTGCACCAGGACTTGTTTGATAGTGCAATTATAGTCTGGCCAAGCACATTGATTATCAGCCTATGAATCCTTTTAATAAACAGATGGTAAGAGTGGGAGAGTTTCCTTGTCAGCCACATTATAGAAAGCAAAAGCATAACACTGCGATTACTTTACCCATGAACATGAATCATTCCAGTGGGTGTTCATGGGCCAACTCTTGGAAATGAGGATGGAAGAAAAGGCAGATAGACCTGCTAGGATGTCAAGGCATTATTATAACTGGTGCTTGGAACAAGTTTAGGACTTGGAGGATTCAGTGTCTGAGTAATGAACAGGAATTAAATCATCCCTTAGATGTGAGACTTTATTTCAATCTTTTCCCATGATCTGTTAACAATGAACTATTTACAATAGCTTCATAAATCATGATAGAAAGGAAGGTCAAAGAAATGCCAATTGTTGCAGGTGGAGACTATGACTTATTCATTGCTGTCAAGGTAAAGAACTCCTTCTACAAGATTCTTTTAGTGATTAGAAGTGTCCTTTCTTCGCAGTTTAATTCACCAAGGAGGATTGGTAAAAAGTTGGACATCATAGTCGTATTAACCAGGCTTACAATGCAGGAAGCTTCCTTTCTCTAGCTGTGCCTTTGGAAGGTTCTACTGTTACTGTTCTGGTACAATTTCTGTTTAAATTGTGGCAACTGTTGTAGAAAACTTAAACAGAAGAGACGCAAGATCAAAAATTGCATGACTGTAGAGTGTGAGGTGCTCCAAGACTGGAACTTGTGCTGCAAATCAAGTTATTGTGTCTTATCCCGATCTATTGTTTGTTCCCACTTCCTATGGATGAAGAGGAGAAATAATGGCTGTATCCCCCAAGGTCACTGGTTTATGTTGCAATCTGCTCACCACATTACTTGCCCAGTGGGGTGAGATATTGTTAAAGAAATTTCTAGTCTGGGATGTTTGGGAGTAAAATCTAATAATTGAATTAGCTTTACTGTCACATACACTCACATGAATATGGTAAAAAGTTTACAAGTCACCACTTATGGCACCATCTTAGGTACAAAGGTATCTTGGTACGAAAGCAGAAAAATAAAGAAAACAAAGTTAAGAAGTTAACTGAGAAAGTAGGAACTGCCGATGCTGGAGAATCTGAGATAACACGGTGTAGAGCTGGATGAGCACAGCAGGCCAAGCAGCATCAGAGGAGCAGGAAGGCTGACGTTTTGGGTCGAGACCCTTTTTCAGAAATTTCTGAAGAAGGGTCTCGACCTGAAATGTCAGCTTTCCTGCTCCTCTGATGCTGCTTGGCCTGCTGTGTTCATCGAGCTCTACACCGTGTTATTTAAGAAGTTAACTCTTGTTCCTCTCATCAGTTGGATTTCTATCAAGTAGCATGTGTGAAAGTTTTCTAATATATAAACAATATCCTCTTTAGCCCAGGTCA